ACTCACCTCAGCCTCCCAAAGGCGCGGGATTACAGGCTGAGCCACCGAGCCCCAGCTCTTTCTTTTTTTTTTTTAAGAGATGAGGTCTCGAAATGTTGCCCAAGCTGGTCTCGAATTCCTGGGCTCAAGCAATCCTCCTGCCTCGGCCTCCTAAATTGCTGGGTTTACAGGTTTGAGCCACTGCACCCAAAATTATATAATATTTTCATACAATCTATGTATATCTTCCCATATACTTTAACTCATATCTAGATTACTTATAATACCTAGTACAATGTACTATGTAATTAGTAATTTTATTCCACATTTTAAAATTACTTTTTTATTGTCGTATTCTTATTTTTATTGTTTTACCCCAAATATTCTTGGTCTGCAGTTGGTTGAATCTGCAGATGTGAATCTGCAGATGTGCAGGCCCACACATACAGAGGGCCGAACACAGGTGAATGGAATCGGTTGTGAAATTCAGATATAGACCTACACAGATGTTGATGGCTGATTTTTTTTTTTTTTTTACGTTGGAGTCTCACTCTGTCGCCCAGACTGATGTGAAGTGCCACGCTCCCGGCCACTGCAGCCTCGACCTGCTGGGCTCCGGCGATCCTTCCATCTCAGCCTTCCAAGTACTGGAACTACAGGCGTGCGCTACCACGCCCGGCTAATTTTTTGATTTATTGTAGAGATGAGGTCTCGCTGCCCAGGCGGGTCTCGAACCTGCGGGCTCAAGCAATCCACTCACCTCACCCTCCCAAAGCGCAGGATTACAGGCTGAGCCACTGAGCCTGGTCGACGGCTGATTTTTAAAATCATCTTGTAAAGACAATTCATTGGAGAAAAGATAATCTTTTCAACAGTGATACAGGAAGAATCCAATATCCATTTACAAAAAATAAATTTATTTTATTTCCATACCTCACACCATATACAGAAAAAGACTCAAAAAGTTAATAGACCCAATGGCAAATCCTAAAATTATAAAACTTTTAGAAAAAATAGGGGAAAAAAACCTTTGAAAGCTTAGATCAGACAAAGATTTCTTATCTATGACACCAAAAGCACAATATATAAAAGTAAAATGAGGTAAATTGGACTTCATCAAATTAAACAGCTTGTGTTCTTCAAAAGACAATGTTAAGAAGATGAAAACACAAGACACAGGCTGGGAGAAAATATATGTAAATGGCATATCTAGTGAAGACTTGAATACAGGATATATCTAGAACTCTGAAAATGTAACAATGTACAAGTCAATAACTTGATTAAAAATGGAAAAAAATTTGATGAGACACCACTATAAAAGATAAATGTATGGCAAATAAGCACATAAAAAGATGTTCAAGATCATTCATAATTAGGAAATTGCAAATTAAACCAGAATGAATTACCACTTCACACCCATCAGAATGGCTAAAGTAAAAATAAATAACAAAAAAACTCAGAACAAAACAAAATGTAACAATATTGTCAATGAGTTTGAGGAACTTAATCCCTACTATATTGCATCGTAATACAAATTCTTACAGCTACTTTGGAAAACATTTTTGGCATATTATAAGGTTCTGTCATCCAATTTTACAGACTAAAGTTCTTCCTTCTCAAGATAACTACTATTATGATTACATGAGCATTTAATTTTGCCTTTTTTTTTTTTTTTTTTGAGTTGAAGTCTCACTCTGTCGCCCAGACTGGAGTGCAGTGGCCGCTCCCGGCCACCAGCCTTGACCTGCTGGGCTCCGGCGATTCTTCCACCTCAGCAGTTCAAGTAGCTGGAACTACAGGTGCGCGCTACCACGCCCGGCTAATATTTTGATTTATTGTAGAGATGAGGTCTCGCCAAGTTGCCCAGGTGCGTCTCGAACCCGAGGGCTCAGGCAATCCACTCACCTCAGCCTCCCAAAGCGCGGGATTACAGGCTGAGCCACCGAACCCGGCTATTTTGCCTATTTTTGACATTGATATAAAGTAGAATCATAAAGTATATACTATTTTGTGACTCATATCTTCTACTCAATGTAATTATCTGTAGCAATCATCCATATTGCTGTGTGTACTAATATAGAATTCCATTGTACGAATATGCCATAATTTTCTTATCCATTTGTCCGATCTAGTAATGTATGAGGAGGTGATAAAAAAAAAAATCTTGAAATTCTTTTTTGGAGTGCGCGTCCCTTGTAGTATAGACTTCTCCCACTAGGTAAATGTTCTAGAAATTCATGAGCTTCAGTGTACCAGCTAGCTTTGTTGTGAGAGGCTGTGTCTGGCTTCAGTGAATTTTGGGGGGGTATTCTTTCAATTCGTTTGCCCCTTTCATGATGGGTGATTTACAAGCACACCTACCCACACTGCACTGAGTGTTCAGCAGTTTTTGACCCAAACTGGCATTACCCCCATGCCCCACCCTCCCTATAACCCAATCTTTCCCCAATTGACTGTTTGTTTCCCCAGATGAAAAAAAAGTCCTCAAAGGGAAACGTTTTGCTGATGTGGAAGAAGTGAAACAAAAAATGGCACAAGCACTAAAAAGCATTAAAATTGACGACTTCAAAAACTGTTTTGAGCAGTGGAAAAAGCGTCTCCATAGGTGTGTTGTATCAAACAGAGAGTACTTGAAGGTGACTGAAGTTTAAACATGTAAGAATAAATACACAATTTTTAAATAAATACATTCCAGTTTTTTGAAGGGCCCTTCGTATTAAAAGGATAACATTGTGATTAAACGAAGATTATCCCAAGAATGAAAGGTTGTTTTATCAATAAAAATCAATCATAATTTACTATATTAACTGAAAAGCACTGTAGCAGACAGAATGACGATCCCCCAAAGAAGTCTGTGTCCTAATTCTCAGAAACTCGGCAAGATAGAATTAACGCTGCAGGTGAAACTAAACTTGCACTGAAAATAGGGAAATTATCTTTGATTATCAGTCACATGAACTTTTAAAAGTGGAAGAAGGAGGCAGAGAGGGTTAGGAAGATGTCACATGAGAAAGACTCACCCACTATTGCTAATTTTGAAGATGGAGGAAGAGGATCATGAGTCAATAAATGCGGTGTCCTCTACAAGGTGGGAATGGTCCTCAATTTACAGAACAAGAAAATGGCACCTCTGTCCTAGAACCTCACGAACTGAATTCTGCCAATAGCCTGAATGAACAGGCAAGTGATTATACTCTAGAGTCTTCAGAAAGGAACATAGCCTCCCAAATATCATGACTTTGGTCTGGTAAGACTAATACCAAAC